TTCTACAGGGTGATTCAAAAGTAAGTGGCATCCTTTTGGGGACGTATTCCTTGCATAAAAATAAGACAAAAAGTTCCTATTAACATGGGTCCAGAAATGCTTCCTAAGAGAGTTACGCCCCTTTTAATAGGACACCTGGAAGACGTATTTTTCCCTATAACTTTGAAATCCTTCACAAATGGTTTTTGAAAATTGGTGTATTTTATAAACATACGATGGCAATTAAGATACTAAATTGAAAGTTCAAAAATTTTAATCAGTGGCGTCACATACTGGGGAGGGTGAGGGTTAAAACATCCCTATTTTTTTTACTCGTCAGGTTTTTGCGATTCTGATTGAAAATTCAGAAATTTTACAGTTTTTTACACAGAAAAGGTACTCTTGGTTCAATTCGATACAGCGTACCGTTTACGAGAAAATGTACATTGAAAATTTTTTGATTTGCGTATGTTTCGCAAAAATCTGACGAGTAAAAAAAAATAGGGATGTTTTCACCCTCCCCAGTATGTGACACTGATTAACATTTTTGAATTTTCAATTTAGTATCTTAATTGCCATCAAATGTTTATAAAATACACCAATTTTCAAAATCCATTTGTGAGGGGTTTCAAAGTTATACAGAAAAACACGTCTTTCAGGTGTCCTATACGAAGGGGCGTAGCTCCCTTAGGAAGCATTTCCGGACCCATAGTTAATAATAATAAGAACTTCAGCATCCGTATCAAAAGTGATGGTTTTAAATTCTCCATTAATTTGTCCTTCGAATTTTATTCCTCTATAATGACTGCCCAATGATTTTATGTAAACAACCCTGGGGGCTTCGTCATTACTAACCAGTATTTGTTCCTCCATACTGGTTAATTCCCGTTTCCCTATCTGTTATTAGGGCTGGCGTCTGCAAATCTCGAAAAGCGTTGGGAACGATACCTAGATAGAGAGGACACCCTTACTTTACAATCCCGTTGATTATTTCCAAGTTTATGGCACGGATAGCATTCTACTCGGTTTCTCGGTGTTGGTGTTTGTCTAAAATCTTTTCCTTATTTTCTACCTTCTAGTAATAGTTTCTTCATGTTCCCCATGAAATTACTCATAGCATTCCCAAAACTGTTTTGACGATTGTTTATCTCTTGTGTCTTCAATGGAAACTGCTCGTATTCTGGGTCATAAGGCATACCAAAGATTGCTTCCAGTTCCAATGCTCGGAAAAGGGGCTTCGCTACTTTTTCTGAACTTAGACATTCTCAGATGTTCCTGGATCTTGGAATCTCTGAGACCATTAATAAACGGAGATACTGTCATCCATTCCTGCATGTCTTTCCTAGCTTCCCAAACTCACTAGCCTTTTAACTTCCAATTCGAATTCTCGTAAACTCTCGCCGGGTTTTTGAATTCTTGATTGGACTGAAGAATATCTAAGGCAGGTCCTCGTAGCGCTACTATCAGAGCAGTAGCTTTTTCTTGATCGTTCCACCCGTTGATATTTGCAGCAGTTGCAAAATGTCGGATATACATGGTCCAGGACGTAAAACCGTCAAAAGTTGGTGGTTTTATCTTCATACTAGAGAATGCTCCAACACTACTTGGATTGATGAACTGTATTCCTGATATCATCTTATCTTCTAGTGCTTGAACTTGGTCCTCAACTTCTTGTCTTAATTGCTGAACATCGTCTTTGAATCCTTCAACATCGTCTTTATAACTTTGGCTTTTATTTTACTTCCTTAATCTTTTGTTCTAGGTTAGTAACAGATCCTTGTATGGTTTGAAATATTTTCTGCAGTTGTTCAAGGTCTTGTTGTCGCCTAGCTTCTTCTTCTTATTTTTCTTGTTATTTTGCACAGAAGTTCTTCAATTTTTTGTTCTTCCATTTTTGTTTATTGTCTCCTAATAGGCATATACAGAATGTTCTGGAATTTCCCTCAAACTCTGTTCAAATATCTTTCCTGGTCTTTGATTCATGTTCCAAACACGTCGGTTGAGTCACACATTGGATAACTTGCTTTAGTCTCGAATAGAATGTTCTAGAATTTCCTTGAAATGTCTTTTCTGAATGTTATAGCAAATACATCGGCAAAGTCATAAATTCGATATTTCCCTTGGTTTCCGAATAGAATTTTCTATAACTTACTTGAAAATTAAATATCACAGTCTAAATCGGGTCCGGGGTAATTTACATAATCGGTTAAGTCTCTTTTTGTGATTGTCAATGCTTACACTGACTAATTGTTCCAGTGTTTACTCAATGTTCACACTATTCTGCAATCGGATTTCACTTTGCAGTCCTCCAATTATATGGCACTGCTGACACCGTCACAACTGTGACGTGCGCGACAGGAATCTTGGATCCGTTTATTCAAAAATCAAAGTTCAATTAACACAACAATAATTTATTCAACGTTACTGTTACTATAACACTGACACTTATCACTAATCAACTTAACTCTTACAATATTCACTATCTAAAACGTATGACAGCTAATCTCAACACTGAAAACTACTAACTAATCCCGGCCTTTATATATCTGTAATACATTCTTGTAAAATCCAGAAGAACGCCATAGTCAGATATTCGATATTCTGTGTGCACTGGCGGAGGCGCCACATATTCTTTACAATATGATATTCAGCCGCCAACCGCACGCCTATAGCTTCAATAAAGCTAGATCAACAAAACATTGAGAAATTGGGAGAGACCCAATTTTTTAAATACCTTGAATGCTATATCGCAGAGTAACTAGACCCAGATGAGAAATAAAACAGCTCACACAACTTTTCTAAAAATTAAATAATTTTTCTGTAACGACAACTTAAACCTGAGAGGTGGACTCTGGAACGCTAATACGATTAATCACCTGGAAGCGTTCGAGATGTGGCTGCATAGACAAATAATCTGAAAACCCTGAACAGCTATACAGATCAACGAAGCAGGAAACAGTGTTGAATATTGCAAAATTCTCCAGCTTATAATAGGAAGTAGAATCGAGAGCCGCAGAGGAATTGGAAACATTTCCGATTGGACCGGAATACGCAGTTCTGAACAATTATTCAGATTAGTGGAAAAACGCGAAAAACTCTGATTTTTGGTCATTGTCTTAAATAAAACTAATCTATTTTCGAAGAAATGTTTCATCATCAGCGAACCCGCTGACTTAACGATATATTTATTATTTGTGATGGGAAAAAAATAACATAGATCCTAGTAGTCTAGGAAAATTGTCGTCAAAAAAAAAGCCTACCCAAAAGAACTTTTCAGGGATGATAGGGGGAGGGTGGGCGATCATAAAACCGAAAATATCAAACATTCACCCCTCTGGCGTTTTGCGCTATAGGGGTTGAAAGTGCGCCATTGGCCATTACTTGGTACCTATTGATTTTACAAAAAAATGTTTCAAATAAAAGATGTGCAACATTATTTGATATACAATGTTTATCTAAAGACTTTTTTGATTAAGGGCCGTCTGTGGTCATAAGGGCCGTTTGAAATTTTATGATGAAAATGAAAAATTTTAATCAACGTGAAAAAATTTTCTACAACTCATACAACATTTTTGCTTTATGAAGTTTTTACTCACCCCCTGCCGTTTTTCAATAGGGGTAGTTTAAAGTTTTTTTATTTTTTTACAAAAATTTTTTCTTAATAAAAGTTTTATAAGATGACATTTCCTACAATTTTTCCTAATCAACTTTTTTTTTAACCCACCCCCATTCAGCGGGGGGACACTTCCCTCGGGAAAATTTTAGTTTTTAGGGGTATATATTAATTTTTGTTTTCTTTTCTTGCCTTTAGTGCATATAAAAAGTTGCAATTAACATTGTATTAAAAGGATTTTTTTTCACCACCTTTTTGTTTTTAGGGGTAGTTCGCCTATTTCCAACTTTACAAAAAAAATGTACTAAGAAAACTTGTTCATTTTATTATTTTGAGCAACTTTTTTCTATAACTTTTTTTTGTAAAGTTGAAAATAGGCGAACTACCCCTAAAAACAAAAAGGTGGTGAAAAAAAAATCCTTTTAATACAATGGTAATTGCAACTTTTTATATGCACTAAAGGCGAGAAAGGAAAACAAAAATTAATATACATATACCCCTAAAAACTAAAATTTCCCCGAGGGAAGTGTCCCCCCGCTGAATGGGGGTGAGTTACAAAAAAAGTTGATTAGGGAAAATTGTAGGAAATGTCATCTTATAAAACTTTTATTGAGAAAATTTTTTTGTAAAAAAATAAAAAAACTTTAAACTAGCCCTATTGAAAAACGGCAGGGAGTGAGTAAAAACTTCATAAAGCAAAAATGTTGTATGAGTTGTAGAAAATTTTTTCACGTTGGCTAAAATTTTTCATTTTCATTATAAAATTTCAAACGGCCCTTATGACCACAGACGGCCCTTAATCAAAAAAGTCTTTAGATAAACATTGTAGATCAAATAATGTTGCACATCTTTTATTTGAAACATTTTTTTGTAAAATCAATAGGTACCAAGTAATCGCCAATGGCCCACTTTCAACCCCTATAGCGCAAAACGCCAGAGGGGTGAATGTTTGATATTTTCGGTTTTATGATCACCCACCAATCCCCTATCATCCCTGAAAAGTTCATTTGGGTAGGATTTTTTTTTTTTTTGCAATACATGTATTTTTCGACTATTTTCCTAGACTATAGGGCTGTTAGTTGGAACTTTGGGTCTTGGTTTATGATTCAGTATAATTTCACCACGTCACAAACAAAATGTTTTGATTTGGGGCAAAATTAAAGTCACACCTGTATAAATCATTTGGGCTGGGACTCTCTGTAACGGATAGAGATCGTTATTCATATCGCTATGGCACTTGCTGTCTTCTTCTCTCTTTTCAAAATCAATAGAGATAGAGAAAATATCTCTATTGGTTACAGAGTCCCAGCCCTGAATGTCTTTGTGAGCTCCGCTAATGTGAAACAAATCCGGCAAGATTTAGAACTTACTTCTTTGACACAAATTTTAATTAATTTTCTTTTTCCAGATGTGTATTTCCTGCTGCGATCAAAACTATTGCAACGTCAACGTGCCAACGAACAGTTCAACGGCAGTTTTCGATGATAAAATTACCAAAATGCGTATGCTAGCCAAAAATTTATTCAGAGAACAAGAAAAAGCTTTGACTACGTCAGTGAAACAAGCGAATTGTTCGTCGCTGTATGGTTTCGATTTTAGATGGTTGTTTTTGTTGATTTTTCATGTAGTTTTTGGGATAATATCATAATGATTTAAGGTTTAAGGTTGTTTTTAATATAAAATAAAAGAGTGTTCTTATATGAGTGATATTCTATTAGCCTTTGTTATGCTTCAGATTTTCAAGCGAAAATTGACGAAATTTTTGCCTTTCTTCTTTGTAGATAAGCTGAGTTCAATGAAAAGTGACTCACACAATGGCGTCAACAATTTCTTACATTTGAAATAAATAATTTATTTTCAAGAGATTTCGTTTGTATTTTGTATAGGTACCTACATTGATCAATAGATTTTACTTAATATTTTGTAAACCATTTAAACCTAATATGTCACATACCTATTTGTGAAGAGTAGGTAGTACCTATTTACTTGAAACTCTGTCCCACTATACCTCCCAAAATTTTATTTTAGTTTATTCTACATTTTTAGATATTCATATTCTGTTTTCACCAAAATCTTATCAATTTATTTTTTATTCTTATTTTTACTATTAGTCAAAATAAATATTTCCAGTTTTTCTTTCTTTGGAAATATTAAATAGAAATCGTTTATCAATATAATTATCTACGTTGGTTGCCTTATGCTATAATCAATTATTAATAGGAAATCGTCATAGCTGTAGCTGAAATTATTTCTTTAGAATCACTATTAGTAACATAACTATTTTGTGTCCATCTCTCTGTAGCTCAACTAGCTCGTAGCTCATCCTTTAGGCATAAAATATTTTATGGAGATATGAAATAGAATTTTTATATTAATAATAATTTGTTTAATAAATTTTAATTAATATTTAAATAATAATATAATAAGGTCCGTTTCACCAGGGTTCATACTTGACCTTGAAACTTGAAAAAAAAGGGTTGTCGTAGATTAATTCATATGACACATTCAATAGTTTGACAAATTAAAATCAATGACTTCATTGATTTGTTTCACTGAATTTTTATTTGTTAAACAAGGAAGGCAAATGCTGGTGACAAGTACAAACCCTGGCGAAACAAACTTTACTTAAAATTGTGTAATTTATGGTGCTGATAATCGTAATGCTATAATGCTTATGTTTAAGATATAAGGTAATTAGACTAATTAGGGCAAATTTATCTAATTTAATTTCTATTAGTCTATAATAATATTAATCTTGACTGAATGCTTCGACTCAATAATAATTTTGGAGGTTCATTAGATCTGACAGGACAGCGTCATTCTTGAGATATAAATGTGACTAAATGTTATTTAAAAACTTATTATTGAGCCTAATATGTATATAAATTTTATTTATTTTATGTTATTTAATTCATATACTTAGATAATTGTAAATACATAATAATACCTATATACTCACCTATACCTATACCATACCTATGTATTAAGAAAGCCAATAACTGTCTTCTCACATTCATACACTTTAATATGCCCAAATTCAAAACTATCAAATGCAAAAGCATTCTTTGATTTTTAATTATTTTCAGTTAAGTAATAATTTAATTCAGATTAGAAACTAATAATCTAGATTGAAAATCAAATGCCTAATGCATTTCGCCGAAACATGAAAATAATTATCAATGGAATTGTTGTTTTTTTTGCAGTAAATTTGTTTTAGGTACCTACCTACCTACCTAAATGAGTAGTTCAATGCCATTCTTCCATTATAAAACCACACATTAGTTTTTATGGAAAATAAATTACAAATATCAACCTTTATTGGGTGTTTTATTAAGGAACCTGTACTAGAGTCCTTACTGAAGATTAAAACTCATCGGCCAGCGATGAATGGTATTCTTTCGATAGTTTTTGATGACCTGCGAATGATGATAGCCTGGTAGAGGAAATATATTTTTCATTTCTACAAGGGGAGTTTCCGAATCCGGATTGTTTGAAGTTTGCAATCATCTATGAAAACGGAGACATACTTAAATTCTCCTTCAAACTTTCTCCCGATAGCACTACTTCAACTTCATTCACTCATATTTTTGCACTTAAAACTTCCTCTAAGATAATTTAATAGCAACGTCACACAAAAGTAGGTAAAGTAAAATTTCATCTCGATTATCTTTGGAATAAACTTTTCTGCTAATAATAAGTCTTGGCCTCTCCAGATCGACTTTTGTTTTAGAGAATAGAAGCTTTGCTTTGTTTTAATTATCTGTTCAAAGTTTTATTATTAATAAGTGAGTTATAAATAATGAATATTTACTTTTTCTATTACCCATTCATTAATAAATTATCCATGAATGAAATTCCTTTTTATTTTTACATAATTTTAAACAAACGAGGTTTTTCTTATTGAAGTTTCCTTGAGGATTATAAGTTTTCCAGCATAAGCATCGTTCTGAATATTTTAATAGAAATTGGATATCTTTATTTAAGTACGAATAAAGTAAAAATTAAATTTTTAAGGGGATTGAATGCGCCTCGATGCCAAAATATTTTTTCCTGCGCGAAGCACCTAACGCAGTCTATCATTGTATTCTTCCCCCCCCCTATTAATACTCTTTAGTGGGAAATGGGAATGAGATGAATGAAACAAGGAATGCATTTCGTTCTTAGTTTCAACGTAACTTTTTAGCAGTTGAAGTTATATCAAATTTCTTTTTTGCATTTGATTTATAATATAGGGAAGAATGGCGCTATCGTTTTAGAAATCCGGTAATAGAAACGAGTTCTCGAAAAATTACAAAAATGTAATTTAAACTGGAAAAGAACGAGAAAATTAATCAGTTCATGGTGTCTTTTTTATTTAGCGCCAATCTTATGTGTGTTAGCAATACAATAGCACGAACCAGAATCCCAAAAATCATCTAGTTTTTTTTGTAGAAATTTACTTAATTCTTCTTGTCATTTTGCCTGTCTCTGTTATACCCGCAGCAAACCCTATGGCCAGGGCCGTAGCGATATGACTACCTCTAACTGATGTGAAGTTATCAGACAAAAGTTATCAGACAATTTTCCGGAAACAGCCGAAGGTTCAGTGGCGTCGGTTTTTTTATATATGTATATTTTACCTTTATCTCTTGTAACAACGTCTTATTAGGTGCCCCAAAGGATATCACATGAAAATTCCCAATATTTTCTTATTATTAGTAGGTACAAATCTACGGTCATTGAAATTTTTGAAGGTGAAACTGTTTCTTAACATTTCTCAAAAGCTGTCCGTAATAACAGGTACAAATTATTACTGGACATTATTTAGATCACAAAGAACATTGAAAAAAAATTAACCACACCCCTGCGCCCCTTCGGTCTTTGAAATTTTTAAGGATGAGGGTGAAATATGTTTTTCAACTTTTCTCAAAAACGGCCCGTACTGACAGGTTAAAATTGTTACTAGACATTATTTAGATCACATAGAACAATAAAAAAAAATATACCAAACCCCTACGCCCCTTCGGTTTTTGAAATTTTTAAGGGTGAGGGTGAAATATGTTTTTCAACTTTTCTCAAAAACAGCCCGTACTGACAGGTTCAAATTATCACTGGACATTATTTATGTCAGAAAGAACAATAAAAAAAATATACCATACCCCTGCGCCCCTTCGGTCTTTGAAATTTTTAAGGGTGCAATACGGTGAAATATGTTTTCCAACTTTTCTCAAAAACGGCCCCCGACAGGTTCAAATTGTTACTAGACATTATTTAGATCACATCGAACAATAAAAAAAATATACCATACGCCTGCACCCCTTCGGTCTTTGAAATTTTTAAGGGTGAGGGTGAAATATGTTTTTTTCAACTTTTCTCAAAAACGGCCCGTACTGACAGGTTCAAATTATTACTAGACCTCATTTAGATCGCAAAGAACAATAAAAAAATTTACCATACCCCTGCGCCTCTACGGTATTTGAAATTTTTAGGGGTGTAATACGGTGAAATATGTTTTAGCATCTCTCAAAAACCGTCCGTACTGACCGGTTCAAATTATTATCAGATATTCAACTCACAAAGAGCTTATGGGGTATGGTATATTTTTTTTATTGTTCTTTGTGATCTAAATAATGTCTAGTAGCAATTTGAACCTGCCAGTACGGGCCGTTTTTGAGAAAAGTTGAAAAACATATTTCACCCTCACCCTTAAAAATTTCAAAGACCAAAGGGGCGCAGGGGTATGGTATATTTTATTTATTGTTCTTGGTGATCTAAATAATGTCTAGTAACATATTGAACCTGTCAGTACGGGCCGTTTTTGAGAAAAGTTGAAAAACATATTTCACCCTCACCCTTAAAAATTTCAAAGACCAAAGGGGCGCAGGGGTATGGTATATTTTATTTATTGTTCTTGGTGATCTAAATAATGTCTAGTAACATATTGAACCTGTCAGTACGGGCCGTTTTTGAGAAAAGTTGAAAAACATATTTCACCCACACCCTTAAAAATTTCAAAGACCAAAGGGGCGCAGGGGTATGGTATATTTTATTTATTGTTCTTGGTGATCTAAATAATGTCTAGTAACAATTTGAACCTGTCAGTACGAGCCGTTTTTGAGAAAAGTTGGGAAACATATTTCACCCTCACCCTTAAAAATTTCAAAGACCGAAGGGCGCAGGGGTATGGTATATTTTTTTATTGTTCTTTGTGATCTAAATAATGTCTAGTAATAATTTGAACCTGTCAGTACGGGTCGCTTTTGAGAAAAGTTGGAAAACATATTTCACCGTATTGCACCCTTAAAAATTTCAAAGACCGAAGGGGCGCAGGCGTATGGTATATTTTTTTTATTGTTCTTTGTGATCTAAATAATGTCTAGTGATAATTTGAACCAGTCAGTACTAGCCGTTTTTGAGAAAAGTTGAGAAACATATTTCACCCTCAGCATTAAAAATTTCAAAGACCGAAGGGCGCAGGGGTATGGTATATTTTTTTATTGTTCTTGGTGATCTAAATAATGTCTAGTAATAATTTGAACCTGTCAGTACGGGTAGCTTTTGAGAAAAGTTGGAAAACATATTTCACCGTATTGCACCCTTAAAAATTTCAAAGACCGAAGGGGCGCAGGCGTATGGTATATTTTTTTTATTGTTCTTTGTGATCTAAAT